CAAGGGCGAGGTATGCCAGAGTAATTTCATGTTGAATAGGGAGTCATGAGTTCACAAGGAATGGGTCATGAAGGATGTCCTCTGGGGACCACACAGACAGAGGGGTGACTGTGTGAGGAACCTGGTACGGTATATATGGCGTCTCTCATTCTTGTGAGTCTTGCTCCTAGGCTATGGAGTGTGAATATGGGAAATCTCATGTTCACATCATAAATTACCACAGAGGAAGTGGAATTGAGACACAATTAGAGATCAGTGTGTTACTCGAAGGTCAGTGTTCTTGGGCTGGGAGCAGGTATAACAGACAAACTTTGGCCAAAAGGAAAGTACTTCTCTTTTCTTTCCTCAGACTGGGGGCATCAAATTGAGACCAGAATTGGAGACTATAACCTGGGCAGGGTAGGCAGAGGTTTCAAGAACCAACTGTTTCCTACCAGAACTACAATATCCTCTAGCTGAGGGGCCATCAGGACAATACAGGATCTCCCTGTTTGGTAGGGGTGAGAATCAGTCTTACCACACAGACTCCTGAAGGTCTACAACTTTCTGGGGATTCTCAGGAAGAGGACCCTCTCAGCCACAGATTAGATAAGAGGGAACGGGCACCCGATGGCGGAGGCAAAGGGAAAAACGTGGTAGTTGGCTATGAGTCTCTTGGATCACGAAGCCTGGCTGGGAAGAGAAAGTGGCAGGGGAACCGAGCATCCTAGCCATGAATTCTGCTGCCCCCCCCCTTCTGAAGAAAAGGCTGGCTAGCCTGTGAAAAGGAGTGAGGCAAGAATGGGAGAGGGAGTTCTGAAGGCACATGTCCCTTTGTCCTGGATGAGCTGTCACCGTCCCCACACCATACTCTAACGTGGGAGCAGCTTCCGGTAAGAAGAAGAGCAGCTCCTTACCCTGGGGGACTCTAGTGGATTATCCTCCTTTGTCATTGGCTTCAGGTCCCACCAAAGTGTCAGCATGGCCAGGACCTGTCCACTGCCAATGGGAAGTCCTTCTTTGTACAAAGAGCCAAAAGGAACTCCAGAGCTCTGTCTTGAGGTACAGTGACTGTGATCTGGATTATTGGATCTGAAAAGATCAGTGCTCCCTCCTGAGACTGACCATTTGGAGAGTGGTTCCAGGAGTCATTAGGAATGAGCCTCTAAATTGTTTAAATAGGATGCCACAAGCCATTGGGTCACTTCAAAGGAGAGTCTCGTGGTTGGAGAGTGGCAGGCTTTGCCTTTTTTTCTGCCTTTCTGTCTCCATCTCTTTGCCATGCTCTCCATGAACATCCTACACCACACAGAAGTGGTGGCTGAGGTTGAGCGTGTCCCCTAAGGCTCACAGAAAAGAAGCTTTGTCCTCTAAGGAGCAGGAGAGGAGTTGGTGGGATGCTTAGAGGTGGGGCAGTGGAGGAAGAAGTGAAGTGAAGGCCAGTTTGCCTCCAGAAGATCTTTGACGTATGTCTGTGTTGTTTCTGTGGATGTCGTATGTGAACAGATACATGTTTGTGGGGGGATATGTACCCAAGGGGAAGTGTGTTTTGGTCATGACACCCACACATGATTCAGGCATTGGCTTCCTTGTTCGTGGAGACAATCTTTCTGGTGGATTGAAGCTCATGATTAGCCTGGCCTTGCTGGGCAGTGATCCAAACCAATCTACCCACCAGTCTGTGCCTCACCAGATCTAGGATTCTGAGGGCAAGCAGCCATGCCTGGTTTTTCCCACTGAACTCAGGCACTCATGTTTGTGCTGCAAGCACCATTAGTGTCAGAGCTAACCCCCAGACTTTTCAAAATGGCGTTTCACAGATCTCGTGTGAACCCGCACAGGGTTGGTTCTTAATGTCTGGACTGCTGTGAGTTCATTCCTGCAGCTGCTCTTGGATATGCACACATCCAAGAAAATTCTTGTAGCACGTAGTGATCTTCAACAAAAAGAAGTCTTCAGATTTAGGTGAACATGGAAAGTTGGGTGGATCTGGGAAGATTTGGGGGCAAGGGACTGGGGATGATGAAAACAAAGTGTACGAAAACCACAAAGAACTAGTAACGGTAATTTTAAAGGTATGTGATAGAGGTCATGGCCCCTCAGATTCTCTCTCATTTCCTGTCTCAACTGAGTGTCCTGTCACCCTGTCCTATGTACCCTACAAGGAGCTGAGGCTTTACTGATTGGGCACTCAGCCCCCAAACTGTGACCGAAATAAACATTTGAATGAGGTGTGTGGTGTACTCATCCATTACCGGAAGTGGAGTTTCAGTAGCCGTGAGTCTCTTCATCCAGCGGGTAATAATGCCAGCACATTTCCAGTCACAGTATATTTCTTTTGGGGGTGAGGAGTGGGGGGTGGGGGGATTCAAGACAGAGTTTCTCTGTGTAGCTTTGGAGCCTGTCCTGGAACACACTCTGTAGACCAGGCTGGCCTTGAACTCGCAGATATCCATCTGCCTCTGCCTCCCAAGTGCTAGGATTAAAAGCATGCCACAGTATATTTCTTAAGTCCACAGTGTAAAGGTTTCCTGTGATGTTTACCAAGCAGAGGAATTCTAGGACACAGAAGACATGAAGATCTGAGACCAGGGAAGAGCAAGATGATAAACCAATGTGTAAGCAAGCCTTCTGACCTGAGTAGAGTTCCTTGACCCCATGTGGTGGAAGGAGAGAACAGACTCCCCGTGTTGTTCTTTAATATTCACAGATGTGTGCTATGGCGTGCACATCTGTGAACACACACACACACACACACACACACACACACACACACATACACACACACACACTTTTGAAATGTAAGAATATAATCAGAAAAATTGGAAATTATATTCTGGAAAGCACTTGGGCTCACGACACCCAGGAAAGACACCGTCTTCTGGTGTCCAGGTGCCTAGGAACATGAGAAAGTCAGTTTGGACACTGTTGCTTGCTCTCCCCAATGCCTGTCCTCAGCCAAGCACGGAGGGAATGGAGAACAAAATGGTGATGCAGACAGAACCCGTGAACTGCTGCTGGTGAGCCCCTTCTTCCTATGCACGTGCACTTTCCCCTAAAACATGACCTTCCTCCCTGGACCCCTCAATGGTCCCAGCTGAAAGAGACAACGCATTCCATGGCCCTCACATGCAAGAGACCTGGACCGGACCACAGCTGTTGGGGTCCTCTCTCTAAAGCTGTCTTTCTTTGTTCTCCAGACTATTTGGAATTCAGCTCTACATTGTGTGGACCGAAGGGAACAAGCCTGCCTATTAGATGAGTGTGTCCCTCCCTCTTCCCACAGGACTCCCCTTAGTAGCTGCTAGGAAAAGATGCCAATCAGGCAAGCAGCAGTCCCATTTGGACGGTGAGTATAGGAGCTCAGAATGTCATTAATATTACTGAAGGTGTATGGGTGGGGATTCACTGTCTTGCTAGAAGGGCAGCAGGGTAGGTGTTTTGAAGGACTCAAAGCAGAGTTTCTTTCTCTGTCCTTTCTCCTGGTATCCGTGTTTTCAGTTCCTACTGCTCACATTGCCCTGAAGCCCTATAGACTATCCACTGACTTCAGGAAGGAGAGGCTTCCCCCTCCCACAGTTTCATCTGTCTTATGTACCCAAACACCACAAAGCAAGGACATCCATTGAAGTCTGAAGTCTGTTCAGCAATTTCAGCATCCAGCCCCCAGCATCAACATATCTGGAGGCCAAACCTCAGACCAGGCTCAGTATAGAGCAATGAACAGAAATGTTGAGGGCCACCATCAAGAAAGCAAGCAAATCTATAAACCCATGAGGATGCCCTTTCTGAGGTCATTACCAACACCTCACCACCCCCACCTGCACAGCACTCAGTTCTCCATGTCTCGTCCTGTGTTGCATGTGCTCTGTGGCACAGGGCTTACCACGAGACCTCACTATAAATGGGGACAGTCTCACGTAGAGGTGAGAGTCTGTAGGTGGCTTAGTTAGGGTTTTCTTGATGTGAAGAGACACCATGACCATGGCCACCCTTACAAAGGAAAACCGTTACCTCTGGCAGGCTTACAGTTCAGAGGTTTAGTCCATTATCATCATGGTGGGAAGCATGGCGGCATGCAGGTAGACATGGTTCTGGAGAGGTAGCAGAGAGTTCTACATCTGGATTCACAGACAGCAGGAAGAGATAGTGAGTGAGCCACTAGGCCTGGCTGGAGCTTCTGAGACCTCAAAGCCCACCTGCCAGTGACACACTTCCTTCAACAAGGCCACACCTACTCCAACAAGGCCACACCTCCAATAATGCCACCCCTTGTGAGTCTCTGGGGGCCATTTTCATTCAGACTACTACAGTAGGCATAGCACCCATTGACTGGACATACTCATGACTGTTTCCATTTGAAGGACAAGGAAGTCTTTAGGAATGGAGACTGAGCTGGGCGTGGTAGGTCTCACCTTTAACCCCAGCATGCAACACCCAGAGGCAGAGAGATCTCTGTGAATTTTCTTCCTCACTGGGATATTTATAGAGTTCTGGGACAGCTACAGCTACACAGTGTTGCTCAAAACAAAAACAAAACATAATGGAGACTGAAGGCAGAATGCCTGCTTCTCCTATATCATCCCACTAACTTTCATGTCCTCTAATCTTGTTCCAACTTCTTTTCTCGCAGAGCTGGATATTCACACTGGGTCTCATGTAAACTCCGGTGGTACCCACATGCAGTGCGTTTCTGTAAGGTTGAGTAGATCAGACATATGAACGCGGTGGGATTTGGCCCATGGTACTAGACAGGCAGGATGAAACATTGCACCTTAGGGGCATTCATCATGTGTTCGACCCTTTCCTTGAGAGGCACCTGCACAGTGTCTGTCCATCCCAGTCTTGACTTCCACCTGAGCCAGTGCGATAGAGCAATGGCAGCTCATTCCTTATATTTTCTTTTTTCCCCTTGATTTTGGGGACAAACATGAATGGGAATTGTTAGCCTCAAACTCCATGGTGGGATTCTGCTTGGAGTCTGTTGTTCACGCTTTTGAAGTCAAGTCTCAGTCAGGGCACATGTGTTAGCGATTTTACTTGGCATACAGCTCTGCAAACTTCACCAACATGCACCTCACGATGACGAATAACTTATTTCATCATTGTGAAAACGATATGACCATTTTTGGTCCCACACACAGTGGGGTCATGCAGTATACATGTATACATATAGTCAAGCTCATTTACCTCAGAATTACACCCTGTGGGTGAATATATGGTGTGGAACGTATGACACTTTCCTCTGTTCTGTGTCCTAACAGAGCGACTGAGAGAGAGGGAGAGATGGAGGGGGGGAAGGTGAGGGAGAGGTTCTTTCTGTAATCTTGAGAATTCCTTTGTGCACCCATCAGACCATGGATTCTGAGCTTGTTCCATTGTAGCCCCTTTGTGAAAGCACCCACCCATGCAGCCCAACAGGGTGGTCGGCACAGAGAGCAGAGCATCTGTGGCCCTGGGACCAGGGCTGCACAGGTGTTCCCAGACCCGCTCCGGGTTGCCAGCAGGAGGAAGGGAACTGCCCCATCTGGACGCTCTCACTGCTAATCCAATGGGCCCTGTACAGCTAGTGCCCGAGACCCTGTTCTTGTCCTCTCTGACTTTGCTTCTCACAAACAGGCTCAGAGCACCTTCAGGAAACTCCTAATGTTGAGAAGGCTCTGAAATACTGAGCATGCTCTCCCACACTCTTGCTTCAGGTCTGGGTCCTGCAGAATGAGGCTGGTCACGTGGCAGTCTCCATGAGCCCTGGCTCTCTCTCCTGGTAACCTAGGCAACCACCCGCACTCCATCCTTTCAGAAAAATCTTTTTCTCCCAGGTTATTGATTTCCTCTGGCACAGAGGTGTCGGGATGAAATTACCAACCCACACCTCTGCCACAGCCTCCTGTCCAGAGTCCTCACAGGGCCTCACACTGAGTCACGACATTTAAGGAACACGTATCTCCAACCTTTCATGAGAGAAAATCAGAATGGGGCACTGGGGGAATGTCTGTCCATTTCAAAAGGGCTGGGAGGGGTTGGCACAACACAGTCATAGAGGTAAATCATGTTGCACGATGAAAGGTATTCCAATGGCATCACCATGACAACTCCAATCAAGGCATAATTAGAGTCTCTCTTGTAGCACCAGCTTTTGAAACGTGCTTGAGGTTTTGAGAGCTGCAGAAACACACCTAAGGCACTGGAAAGTGCTCGGGAAGATGCTGCCTGCTGTCGTGTGAGTGTGAGGAACACATCCTGGTCTTCTCATCCAAGAAACACCCCACCGAAGACTGTGAGGCAGGAAGTGGGAGCCCACTGTGCCTGGGGGCTTTACGAGTCAGGAAAGAGCTGGTGTTGCTTGAAGGTAGATTGCAATTGATTCAAAGTGTACAGCTCAGGGCTGGGGAGCCAGGTGGATGGTAAAGTGTCTCGCTCATAGGCAAGAGGCCCTGAGGTTGGATCCCCAAGCACTCAGTCAAAACCCAGGCCTGGCAGGAACACCCCTAATCCGAGGGCTGCTAGGCAGATAGAAGAGGATCCCTGGGACTCACTGTCTACCTGATCAAGCCTCACTGGGGACTTCCAGGATCTTGAAGATCTGTCTCAGAACACATGATGGAGAGGAATAGAGCAACACACGCAGAGTCAACCTCAGACCGCCAGCCACACAGGCATGAGGGCCCACACTTGCACACTCCTGCAGGCACTCAATCATACAGCACACATATGTAATTGTACAGCTCAACCCCTGGAGTGGGATGAAGAAATGAAATGAAAGGAGGTCAAGATGATGAGTCAGTAGTCATGGTCAAGGGAGAGCGTCAATGGGTCTCAAACAACCGAGGACAAAGGAAGGTGACTACCTCGTCCAAAGAGAAGACCACCCCATAGGGGATGCAGGGAGCGTGCGTGAGGGCTCCAGTGACCACTAAGATGCCTGGGGCGGAGTTCTTGGCCAATCCCTCAGTGTTGTCATCTATAGAAGACATGGAGTTTTCCGGGGGGGTGGGGGGCAGTGGAGCTGGCAGCTGAGCCTGGATCGTCCTGCCCAAAGTTCCTGCATCCACCATGCCAACAGAGTCACAGCGGATCCTGTTGTTGGTTGAGGTGGCTCACTTGACTATCCAGGGACATGGACCTTAGGCCACATGGTTCAGTGACCTCCTCCTACTCTGTCATCTCTCTCTGAAACTTTACAATGTGTATTCTGACGAGGGCCACGTGGTCATACTGCATGAAGATACCATCAGGAAGACCATCAGGCAGGTGAAGAATCTGGTAGGGGAAGATGTGACAGGAAGAAACCACCTACTACAAGAGATCCACTGTTGAAAAGGACAAAAGTAAGCATTGCCGAATCAAGGAAGGGATGTCGTAAAGTAACACAGAAAACTTAATTGTACTGGAAATTTAACTCATCACATATCAGTAGTGTGGCTTAGACCATGTGTTACAAAACTCAAAATGTGTTGAACAAACAAGTTGACTCCTGGATTAGGGTGGAGACCACTACACAATTTCCTCACCTCCCCAAATCCCTGACAAAACGACATGATGACATTCCAGTCCACATTAACAACAGGAGGCAGTTGGTCACAGAAGAGAACATGTTTTCACATTTGGAACAGGGCATTTCACGGCGTCTGGTGCAAGCACAGGACACTACAGCCTTGAAAAGAGCAAATCATTCCAATGTTGGGGGAGGTAAAACCCACTTGTAGGCCCTGACACCACTGATGAGACAGAGGTCCAGGTGCCCTGTCCAGTGACTGCAGGTCAGGGGGCACGTGAGAAGTCAGGGCTACAGAGAGCACAGGGAGGAACACGTCTCACAGGCTCCCCTTGTAGCCCAGTAGACAAGGTTTATCCTGACAGGATGCCGTCACACTCAGAGCTATCGAGGCACCCGTAATGGCTGGCAGGGATGTGTTTCCGAGCTTCCAACAGCTCCCTCTAGCACTGAGAAGTTATACACTGAGCACTGCACAGCGGTTGCTAAGCAGCCACCCGGAGCAATGGCCAACCCCCTCACTTGAATAAGGTGCCAGCCCACCCCACCTGTGTGGCCTATAGGCAGGTCACAGGCTGGGCCTCTTGTCAATTCTTCGAGGGGTGCATTCTGCCCTCCCATCTGCTTTCTTGAATCATCAGGGTCTTTTAGCAGCTAAGAGATACAGAGCACACACAGATCCCCAACACTACCACTAACAAACCCATGGAATACTTTCCAATGCTGGCCCTTGACCTATAAGAGAAAACTTAAGGGCAAACTGACCTTCCCAGCTTCCTCTCTATAATACGTGTATACCCAGGCCACGGTTATTTATACTGTCATTACTGGAAAACATGGGACTCGTGAAGACAGTCCTTATGACATTCGCCACTTATCACCAATTTCTGGTGATAATGCTATGTACACCAATGTCCGGCACTATAATGATGCCACCCAATCCTTCCTTCAGTACAGTCCTTGCCCATTCCCCAGACTGTCCATGCTGACCCCAGCATGCACACTTGACCTTAGCATCTCTTTGTCTCCTCGTCTACATGAGACTACGTCTCTCCTGACCTGGCTGCATGTCTTTAAATGATTTCATTGAGCAGATGAAGAGGCAGGGGGTTGATTGTGATGCAGTTATGAAATTCCAAGTCAGCCTCTGCTATGGCAATAATTGAGTGAACAACAGGGAATTCCTGCAGAGATCCAGAAATGGGTATGGCTAAGGAGGGACTCTTCCCTGTTCCATGTAGGTTCAAACCCTGGGTATTTCACCCAATACAATGCGTTCGGTAGCTAGCTGCTTTAAGCTTCATTCCCTTGCTTCAACTTCTAGAAGCTGCAAGTTGATCTGCCCCTGCTATCCAGAACATGCATCCCATCCTATCTGTAAGCCCTTTTCTGGGGCACTCAATAAACTGAGATCAAGAAGGCATATAGAAGACATATATATGTCTTATATATACATCATATATACATATACATATATACATATACACACAGAGACGATGTTGGTTCTTTTTAAAAGGAAGATGGAGGGCACTGAGTTCCCAGAAAAATGAGTGAAAACTCTCTGTGTGTGAATCACAACATGGCAGTTCAGGGATCCCTGGTCCCCAGTTTTCTTTTGTATCGGCTAACACACACCACCATACCCACAAAGGCATGCTTAAAGACATAAGCAGGGAAGTTGAAGCCTTTCCTAGGACAACTCCCATCATAGCACAGTGTTGGGGCTCATCCAAAGGCAGCTGACTGCCTTGATCTCACAGGGTCTGGGCCCCTGAGCTGGCTGTGCCGCACTGTCTGAATCCGTTTTCACCTCCGTCCTCTGGGAGCCAGCTCGGCAGCCTTCTTCCATCCTCTACTTGAGCATCCTCTGGAACATCCTCATGCTTTCCTGCTGCCTCTCCAGCTGGAGCATCTGCTCTGGGTCCTGCTGCTCCCCAGGCCCTTCAGGCAGGGGGCTCGCTCTGTTGGCTCCCAGGCTGAGGGTGAGGCCACTGAGGCCCTGTACCAGCGTTTCCCAGGACGGGGGGTTGGGAGCCTTGTTCCTGTCTCCGCTCATCCCAGCAATGTTCGGCACGTGGCCCTGGCACAGGAGCTGATTCTGAGCTCTGTCACCTGAGGGAGAGCCTCTGAGATCCCTTTCAAGCAGGTAAGGTGCCATGTGATCGCGGTGCCAGCGTCTCGAGTGTCTCAGGAAGACTTTCTTCCTCTGAGGAAAGCCCTGCTTTTCCCAGTATTGCTGCCACAGGGCCGCCTTCTCTCGGGTCTGTTGCTGGAGCAGTCCCTCTGACAAAGGAGCAGAGGCAACTGAGGCAGGCCTGCGGCAGAGGCTCAGGCCACTGAGGCCCAGGCTTAGCTTTTCTGAGGAGGAAGGCTGAGAGCCTGCTGAGGCCTCTTGGGAGCTTGTCACAGTGGCCATGCGGGAGGGCATGGAAATCGACATTGGATCCCATTTCTGCAGCGGATCCATGGGGCTCTAGTCTGAGGCAGAGGCCACCCTGAGCCCTGGTTCCAGGAGGAAAAGTGAAGGTGGAGACTTGTGGAATAACTAGGCGATAGCCAGGAGGAATGGGTGCAGCCGGGAAAATCCAGACTGTAACAAGAGGTGAGAAGAGAAGAAAGAAAGCCCATGATTATTCACCTCACTTTGTCTGTCCCTCATCTTCAACATAGGGCCACCTCCCAGGCTTCTTCCGAGGGTTACACAAGATGACACATGTCCAGAGAGCTTAGCACAGGTCATGGTACATCAACAGCATTCCGGGATGGCAGCTGGTACTTTCTCATGCCTGACAGCTCATGAGGAAGGGATCATATGGTGAACCACATGGATTCTTGCCTCACTCCCCGCCCCTTTCTCAAAGGCAACTCAACCTCAATGAATGGACAACGATCGCCATTCTTCCCAGATGTGTCTACATGAATCCATAGGGCTGATTTTTTTATGAGCTTACAAGGTTTTGAGACCTAGTACCTCACCATTCTCTGATTTTCACCCCACACATCATTGGCTTGCCATGCTCTCCTAGAACCTGCTCAGTGGCCTCTGTGAAGACTTCCATGGCATGTACTGAGATCATAGCCAAATTTCCCTCCTTGTGATGAGAATGACAGAATCTTGGCAAGGGCCTTTCATTGACTCTGAGGTGGCTCTTTCCTGTGTAGCAACATGTGACCTTAGACAAAAGCCTAAAAGTAAACGTTGCCTAGCATTAAGTTTCAGCCACAGATGTCCTTATGTAGCGCTCAGAGCCAGCTACTGCTCAACTGCATGAATATGGTCTTGCCTTTACCTCCTGTATTCCTACACCTACGCATCAGCTGACCTGTGATGACCATAGCCAAACTCCATTCTTGCACTCTGCAAGGCCAGGGTTTTTGTCCTTTCACTTGGGCATGCAAACTGCTTCCCCGAACCATGTCTGAGAGCTGCAAACTGTTGCGTTACACAGAAGAATCTGCTCACCCAGGGGAAAAGCAAGGACCGTGAAAGGCAGGAAGTAAAACCAAAGGGGCATTGAACGACCTGGGAAAAGGTGCCATCAGTGAAAGAGGGCAAAGTTTGCTTCGTGGCTCATAGATTCGGACATGGGAGTCACACCTCTGCCTGCAGATAGCAGCAAGGCAGAGGTGGCCATGCTCTGTCCCAAGTGACTGCGTGTTCTGCACACTTCAGGAAAGACAGAGAACTGTGGAAGCTGAGGAAGGCAGCCTTCAGGAAGGCTCCCCATGCTAAGGCATGAGAGATAACTGGAGAAAGACATTCTGAGTATTTTTTCAACTGTGTGTGTGTGTGTGTGTGTGTGTGTGAGAGAGAGAGAGAGAGAGAGAGAGAGAGAGAGAGAGAGAGATATCAAGTTAAGCTTGCTCCTGCATGAAAGGGAAGAAACTGCTCCCAGGAAGGAGATACTGAATAATGTCCCTGGGCAGCACTGTTAGTCAGCTGCCATTCACTCTTGCAGCCTCCTGAGCACGAGCTTCAGGAAATTCAAAGACAGCCAGGGATGTCAAGAAGGGAGGGGTGCGGGAGAAGGAACGAAAGTGAGGGAGAGACCTGGAGAGAGAAACTAGTCCCACATTGTTCATGGAAGTCATCAGAAAACACGCCACTGCTTTTTCACCTCATCTGGACTTGGGTTTTGCTCTTCTACGCAGTCACTGGAGAAGGTCCCTGGCACAGCTCCAAGGTCATTGTCCTTTCCACTCCACTTCCCTCTGCTCATCCAACT